TTTTTAGAAGTGATCTGGTAAGAAAGTCCAATTAGTTTTTAAAGGTCCATTGATTTTTATCTGGTGTGCTTCAAATCCTAATTTTCCTATCAGTCCTCTTTAGAATGTGATTTTGTGGCTTTTTTTTAGTTTTTCAGAGATGCACATATAGTGTTGTACCTGAAATGCCTGTACTATAACTGGTCATGACTGCCGTATGCAAATTTAAAACAAAAAACCCTAATTCTGTCTGCACATGTGCATTTTCCCCATTCCCCATCCTGTGCATCCACATAGGGTCACACGAAACTGTGACGGTGGAGAAGAAGGAAGCAAAGTCTTCCCAATCAGATAGCATCAAGTCTCATCCTCATCTACCGCTTCCTCACCAAATTTACTCCCTGAGCCCCCCGTCCCTCCTCCATAAAACAGAAAGGGTAGGTGAAGGCTGGAATGAGGCAACTGTGGCAGAAACCAAGAGCCAGTTCTTTTTCTTCCTGAGTACATATAGCAAGCTCACAGGCTGCTATTCCCGCTCCCCTGCATGCTGTGTGGCATTGTGACTCATGCACACCCTGAATCACTGGTCATCTCTGGGTCAAAGTTTCAAGAAGCCACTGTGCCTTTGGTAGATGCTGCTTCTCTGCTGGCTGGTGGCAGACAAGTTCCTGGATCTTGAGGATGGAATAGAATAGCCACTGATCGAGAGAGACAGAAGATGGGAACCTGAGTCTTTTTCAAAAACTGTGAGATGTGTGACAAACTTCTGTTGTATTCCAGCATGTTTTTATAGCAGTTTAGCTTACCTTAATTAAGATAAAAACCCCTCAAAAATGGTTTGGCAATCAGGGAAATAAAATTCCACTCTTAGAGATAAACTTGTCAAATCAGTGCATCCAAGGTCAGAGCAGAAATATTCCCAAGAAAAAAGAGCAGTTCCCAGACCTGCCTGACTTAACTAGAGCTAGAGGGAAGTTCTATTAAATCTTAAAAGTGTATGAAGGGGAAGGAGGGCAATAGAAAGGGGCTGTGTGGTTAGCTGAGGGAATGTACAGAAAGGGCGGTCAAACAAACCAGGCAGGGCCTTGTGGAACCCATTCTGAGGAGAGACAGTGTCATCTCTTTGAGCAAATACAGTAACCAAGTGTCCCAGACAGGCCCCTCCCACAGGACTGCACTTCCCAGCAGGATTATTTATTTATTTATTTGGTGGTACTGGGATTTGAACTCAGAGCCTTGCACTTACTAGGTGATTGCTCTGCCACTTGAGCCGTGTCTGCAGCCCTTTTGGCTTTAGGTTGATTTTTTAGATAGGGTCTTCCATTTTTGCCATGGCCAGCCTGGACTGTGTCCTCCCACCTATGGCCTCCTACCTAGCTGGGACCTCAGGTGTGCACCACCACACTGTGCTTGTTGATTGAGATGTCTGGGGATCTCACTAACTTTTTGCCTGGGCTAGCCTCAAACCATGGTCCTCCTGATCTCCAACTCCTAAGTAGTTGGGATTACAAATGAGATTCACAGCACCTGGCCTTCCCAATAGGATCACTTATGCAGATACTCAGGGCCCTTTTTCAGAATATCCAGGGATGGGGCCAAGGCTAGAAAAACTTCTAGAATCCCCACAGGGGTTATGATTCCTGATTATATATACTGCTGTAGAGGATGAGAGTTCCTTGAAGACAGCTGACTTCTCCTGTTCTGAATCCATGCCCCACAAGCAACTGAGGGCAGAGTGCCCAAGGGCTGTGACAATCTGGGTTAGGTAGACATAATGACCAGTCCACTTGACAGATATAAGTATTAAATGGACAGTCTATGTTTATCCTAAGTGCTTGAACACTGTACCTCAGTTTCCTCATCTGTAAAATGGGAATCATAATAGCACCTATCTCGTATTGTTGCTGTAAAAATTATGAGATGTAACATGCAAAGTGTATAGAATGGTGGCTGGCCCAGAGCAAGTGCTCTCTCTTAGTGTGTGTTGTGGGCATTATACGTCAGGCTCTGGGAGCTTGGTTAATGTGACTTCCTTTGAGAGCTGATGCCTGTCACTGTGCCACAAAAGTAACGCAAGAATAAGACCCTGAAGAGTAGTTAATTTTCCAAGCTATATTACCTTGCAGGGACCTCTTGGAGCAGGCAGAGTCCTCTATTAGGTGAGAACATGTACATCCAATGTTACCATAGGCCTTAATATTTGCAACTGCAAACAAGGATTATATGAAAAACTGTCTCAAGCGCCTAGTGGATGTCTAGTACACAACCTTCCCTCAATCGACAGTAGCCTTTGTCTCTCTTCTGAAATACCGTTAGCCTTTGAACTGTCAGCTGGAAGCAGGAAAGGGACTCCTGGCAGCCTATGGAGACTGCATTACTGGACTGGCTCTGACTGGAGGAGAACCTGCAACAACTTGCTGGGCTGAAATCAGTTTGGTGGGAAGCTGTAGTGTTACCAACAGATACTGAGGTTTGACACCAAGAAAGCCACAGCCTGAAGGACAGGAGAAGCACAAGCTCCAGCTCTTTCTGTTGTACACCTCATGTTCATCAGATGCAGCCCAAATGTCACCTCTTCTCTGAAGCATCCCCAACTCCCTCAGACTGCCTCACTAAACCCACCCCAACCCCCATCCCTGCAGCACCTTCTCTATCTCACATGACTTGTGTTCTGTGCCTGCTTCCTGCACCAGATCCTAGATCCTCCTGAGCAATGACCTCCTGCCATCTGGAGACCTTTTGATACCCTGTGACTGGCACACAGCTTGGCGCATAGTAGGTGCTCATGAAATGCTTGTTGAATTGATGCAGTGGGTCCCAATTCCCTAAGCCTAGCGCTGAGGCAGGTGAGCCTTCAGAGCCTTTCAAGGGCAGAGAACAGAAACAGCCAGGGAAGAGGCTACCTCCCCTCCAGCTACCTAGATAGCATTCGTGTAGAACATTGAACCATGAGGGCTGGGTGGCACCTCAAAGTAACCAGAGGACCCAGACGTTCTTGGGCAAGGTGCTGCAACACCAAACATCATCCACACAACAGATTTTGACCAGGAGTCAACACAGACCACTTCCTAAGCTAATGAATCTTACAGGTGTGGGCGGAGATGGAGGTGTTCAGAAGTCACAACAGTACCATGTGACAGGTGCTGGGCACAAGAAGGGACACAGAGAGAGGATCTTGAATGTGTCACAGGAGTCAGCATCAAAGCCAAGAGACAACTGTGGAACTGAGCTGCTTTGGGAGCAAGAGACCAAAGCTTTCTGCAACAGAATGGGAGGGCACTCCTCCTCGTCTCGGGAGGGCACTCCTCCTCGTCTCGGGAGGGCACTCCTCCTCGTCTCGGGAGGGCACAGGGGAGGCATCACAGGCAAGAGGAGCTCCACCACCACCCTGGAGGAGTGTGTGCTGATTCCCAGGCCTGCCAGCTCTTCCTGACACTGCAGGAGCTCAGTCCACTGCTAGGCAGGGCTCTGTCTCATCCCTAGCAACTAGAGCCACGGCCTGACCTCACTGTGGCTACAGCAGTGGGACATCAGGACTCTCAACTCTTATTAGCTCATCTTGCCTCTCCCAGAAAGAAGAGGCCTCTGCTGAGTAGACACACTGGACACCAGCTCTGCCTCGATAAGAGCAAAACCCACATTCAAAAAGAAGACTGTCCACACAATTTTATTGTTACTGAAAGCATTTTGAATGAAGCAAAGAATTTAATAAAACAATCAAAACAAACATTTTAAAAATCAGAAGTAGGCAGCAGATTTATGGAATTGCTTTTCTGATCATCCAGAAAAGACAACGGTATGTACTTCTTGGTCAACTGAATTTCAGACAGACAAGCCACTAGACAGTGAGACCTGAGCCTGTATTTTCAGTGGCAGTAGAAACCCTGACCAAGAGAGGCGACAGTGGAAGGACAGCCATCACCCTGGAGCCCCACTCCTATCCTGAGCTGGCTGAGCTAGGCAGGGGGAGGGTAGCTCTCTGCCAGTACAAGCAATTAGGAGTATAAGGCGGGCTGGGAGGCTGGAGTGGGTATGCAGCCACCCTGACCTTTGAGGGGTCATCAAGACATGAAGCATCTGCAAGTAACTTTGTGTTCATCTAAATCCGTTCAGCTGCCTTACTAAGCAAGAGTGCTTGGGTCGGGGGTCACTGTGTGTCTACAGAGGCCCAGCCTATCAAAGCAGGTCCCACATTAAGCTGCCAGTCTCTGGAGAGAGCAGGAGTATGAAGTCCGTGCCCCAACAGCTCAGAGCAAGAAGTACGTGCTCAGGTGACTGTGCCATGTGGTCCAGGTCTGTCCCACATATGTGGACAATCGGGAGGGTTAAGAAAAAACCTTTGCGGTCCAAGATGGGCCTGCAGAAACAGGCAAGGTTTTAATAGGCAGAGATGGAAAGTGTGTAGGCAAAAGCCCTGGGAGGACTTGTGCAGGGGGAGCAAGCTAGAGGTGGTCCTTGCTGGGAGTGATAGGAGAAGAGGCTGGAAAGGGAGCTGAAGGCTGGGTGGTGTGGCCCCCATGCAAGGAGAGTGAACTTAAGCTGAATGAATAACAGGGAGTCCGTCACATACTCATTTATTCCTTCATTCATTCAACAAAAATATCAAGCCCTCTGCCAGGTGCTTTCCTGGGGTGCAGGGCACACAAGTGAGTGGTGAGTGGGGCAGACTTCCGCCCTCCTGAGGCTGGCATTGTGTCCGTCCCCGGGGACTTCTGAGCGGGAGCACCCCACACTCAGTGCTGGGCTTCCAGGTGCTCCTGCCTCCTGCAGGGGAGTGAAGGCTGCAGCCCAGTCCATGGCAAGGGCCAAGCCCTGAACCGGGCCACAGGACAGCAATAGTCAGTAGGGCCAGTCCCAGATGGGACCTCTTTAGTCAGGCCAGCCAAGCCCTGCAGCAGCAGACACAAGGGCAGAAGCATCCCCACCAGTGTTTGGGATAGAGGGACCAAAGAATGGGGCTTAAGTAGGAGAAAGGCGACAAGCCTTCCTCCTTCCTCCCCAGACACTGTAGCAGGCCCTGGTCACTGGCTGGGCTCAGGGGATTCATGCCCAGAGCTCCTCTGGTCCTGGTGCCTGTAGTCATCCTCCTCCTCTTCCCTGTCTCTGGAAAGTTCTTTCAATTGCTCTGGCGGCTCCTGGTAAGCTGCCCGGTTCCTGCAGGCAATGAAGACAAAGATGAAGGTTTACCCTCAGTTGAGTCTGGTACATGTTACAGAAGAGCAGTCACCAGACTGCAATTCCCACCGCCCAGCTGCAAAGGTTCCCTGCACTGAAGGGCAAGAGGAGAACCACAAACCTGTTCCACTCCTGAGCTGAGGACATTGTGGGATCAGAACAGGTGTCCCAGTCCAGACCCGGACCCAGGCTGGCCATAAGCAGCCCACCCTGAGGTTAGAGACTGGAAAACCATAAACTGTAGGGACAGTCCCGGGGTCGCAATGCATCCTTTGTGATTTGGGCAAGTTGCTCTTTTCTCAGCTACAGAATGGGAGTGACAAAAACCAATAGCTGTCCCCAGAGGTGTAGTAAGTGGACATGTCTGTTAGGACCTGGGACGCAGATTTCCAGTTGGCTCAAACGCTTCCAGAGGTTCCCACTCAGACACTCACGGCCTTTCAGTGTCCTTGACCTCAGTTTTGTCGTCCTCCCGGCAGCAGCAACAGTAGACGATGACACCAATGATGATAAGAGCTGCAACCACACCTCCTGCGATGCCCGCATACAGGGCCACATTCATGGAAGCTGCAAGGGGACAGAGCAGCTGCACCTCCTAAGCCCCAACTCAATCAAGCCCGCGACTCAACCTCAGGTACCAGAGGGAACAGCCAGGCTGGGGGTAAGGAGCCACAGCAGCTGGTCCCTCCCAGCTTCTGGGTCACCTCATCCTCCTCCCAGCCCAGGCCAGCTTCTGGTAACACTCCATGACAGGCAAGGTCTTGTAGGAATGTGACCAGACAGGGCTGGGGACACTCTTCACAATGGAGGTGCAGACACAGATAGACAGAGTGTATCTCAATACTCTGGACTACCCAGACTCTGAAAAGACCCTAGGTGTCCCAGCCAGCTCCTAGCTCAAGCCCGAGCTAGACATGGTTCCTTCTCCATCCCTCCCCCTCCACCCCCTGCCCAAGATGGGGTCTAGACTACAGCAGCCAGCTGTGGGCACTTTCCCCATACTCATGGAGTGGCCCTCAGGCAGGTGGGACTGAGGAGGTCAGAAGTCTGTCCCAGGCTCTTCTAAAGAACCCGTGGAACTGGACTGGCCTCCAGATGCCTGGGACAGCAGTCATCTCACCTAGCTCCCCACAGCTAACCTACAAGGGGGTAGCCCTAAAGAGGTTCCCCAGTGCTACTCCATGGGGGCCTCAGTCCCCAGTCCACCTCCCTCCCCACACTGCTCTTACGAAGTCTGACGGCCACAGTGATGTTGCAGGATGCCGTCCCCACCTCATTGCTGGCAGTGCAAATGTAGTAGCCTGATGTATCTGTGGAGATGTTTTTCAGAAAGACGGTCTGGTCTGTGACTGAAGGAAGAACAGCAGGGTGAGGAGAGGTCGCCATGATGGAGAGTGCACAGTGAGGAATTAGGAGGCCTGGGCCTGGGAAGCCAGCCCCCACTGAGCTGCTCCTAGCCAAGCCAGTATCCCCTCTGTGATGTGGCAAGGATCACGTCTGGGCTGCTGGAGGATTAGATCAGGCAAGTCACATAATATCCAGGTGCTTGGAATCCCAGCCAGATACCCGGGGCTCGAAGCCCACTTGTTAATTTGGTGTCTTTGGAAAGAAAGTTGGCTTTCTTGAGCCTCTGTTTCTTCATCTGCAACTATAAATAACAGTACCTGCTTCACAAGGAGAGCATAAAATGGGGTATTAATAATAAATATAACCCAAAACAGAATGCCTGGTTGTAGTAAGTGCTGAGGAAACACCCTCTACACTATTATTCATGGAAATGCTTCACAATTAGAAGATACTGTTGTCACTGTTATGATCTTCAGTAACTGAATCCCTTAGCTTGGAAATTCTAAAGCTCTGATCTCTGGATTTCTGCTATGAAGGGGTATGCATGTGGCTGTGTGTGAGATCCGTGGTATGGCGTGTGTGGAGTATATGCAGGGTGTGTTGTCTGTGAGTGGGGTGATATAACTGGGGTGTGTAATATGAGTGTGCAGCTGTAGTGTATGCTGTGTGTATGGTGTATATAAGTGTACGTGGTGTGTGTGCTGTGTCCTCCGTTTATGGTGTATGGGGGAGGGGGAGGCAAACAGTGTCAGTCTAGACTCTTCCTCTTTACCTGCCACCACTCAAGCAAGCCATTCAATCCTGTGAGCTGCAGCTGCTCATGTGGAAAGTGGGGTGCAAGCGTCTGACCCTGAATCCAGGGCCATGGGCAGGGTGTCCTCCTAGAGAATTCTCCCCCTTGTAGGGTATGCTTAGACATGTGTGTGCTCTGTCCTCAAAGATGCTTTATCATAACTGCTATTTTGAGAGAAGAGTTAGAGACCCGTGTTTTCTAATTTAACTTCAGTGCAGCCTCGGAAGAGCCTGCTGCCACCATCTGTAGATGTTCCAAATTGCAAGTAGGATCCCTCACTGCTCCTTCAGACATCTTAGAGGCTGCCTCTAGTCTTCAGTAATTCGACCCAGCTTTCAACGTGGTGACAGGGTTACATGCCAGCTTTATCACTTGTCACTTCCCCCAGGGTCCCATGGGCAAAACCAGGGACCCCGCTACCCCACCTCCACTGTCTAGAAAGATCACTTCTAAGTGTGAATTTCCTGTCAGGACCCCAGAACATGTCCTAATGAGGTTCTCTCGTCCTTCCAACAGTCTTGTACAGAAAGAAGAACAAGACCCTCCATCTCCAGTTCCACAGAGGCAACTGCAGGCTTGGAGAAGTTAAGTGACTTGCTTAAGGCCACGAAAATTAAGAATGACAAAACTGGAATCAAAATCTTGATTTTAGATCTAGAACTCTGGAGTGGTTAACAACTTTCTTTTAAAATTTTATATGATAAAAGCAATGTCTCTTTGTTTTAAGAATGTGTATATGACATAGAACCATTATTTCAATTCACTTCAGTCCAGAAAAGAGACAAGCTGCTCACAGCAACAAGATGAAAACGGTCCCTGTCCCCTGGGCATTCCCACCCTGTGAAGGAAGACAGACACACAACAATGACAATATTACGAGTTGTTATCATTGGAAATGGAAGTGCTGTTTGAGCTTAGAGTGAAGGGATTTAATCTCATCCAAAGGGTCAGAGGAAGCCTCTGTAAAGTAGAGAATAAAACAAAAATCACCCACAATCATCCATAATTTCACCACCTACAAATAACATGGGCTCATTTTCTCCCATCTTTTCACAAATACAGTACTTTCTCCAGCTTCTTCCCCTGGAATCAAAATGTAAGCCAAAATGTAACCCCTGCTAGCCTGGAATTCCATGCCTCAGTGTGTCTTCCAAAACATTGCTTACAGGAGATATTAATACAGGGTATAGGGAAATGGGCCTGTGACCAAAACATGTTTAGAAATCACTCAGTTATGATGCTTTTTAAGGGGATGGATTGCAGGCATTTTAATATGCTAACAAGCACTGGGAATCTCTGATAAGGATCTTAGAGGCTGCCTCTAGTCTTCAGTAAAACCTGATAAGAATTTATGGTACTTACATTCTCATTTTCTAAATTAATTGGACTTCTTAAAGGAACACACTTTGAGAAAAACTCTATGGTCCCATGCAAGCTTAAGAGGTCTAGATTTGCTAGCAGCTCTCCACTGGTTTAGAGTGTGAAACTCGGTCTAAGGGTTACCCTGCAGACCAGCTCAGGCTTTACCAGGGGTAGGGGAACATGGTTTTTCCTAGTACACTGAGTCAGCAAACAGCAGACACTAAAAGTAGCTCTGGGATGAAACTAGTGCACATCCCATGCTACAGGATGGCCTTTGATTCTGAGTTGGGGTTCCCATGCTCCTTTTCCTTTTGGAAAGGGATTAACATTTTTTCCTGAAAACTGTTTCTGCTGCAGTGGCGACACCTTGTGGTCAAGGAGGGGAATGCATAGCACAGTCATCTGCCTCCTGCCTTTCCTCTACTCTTGTGGGAAGCTTTCCCCCTTCCAAGAAGCCCTGGTCTCCCAAAGTCACTAAAGTAGACATGGTATGGTCTTATTTTTCTGTCCTTTCAATCCCATGATTTGTTAATAATCTCAGGCTGCCACTTCTCACTCAGAGCTCTCAAGGTCCTCCCTATCCTGTCCCTCACAACCTCCTCCTCTACACTGCTTCAGCCCTCATGGTTACTACCACTCCTCCTTCCTTCCTGATAGCCAAATCCCTATTCCTTCAGGGCATAAAACTCAGCTAACTGGGACACGGTTTGCACAATATGTTCAAAACTACCCTACAAGTGATGTCCTTGTATCCCTTATCCTCTTCACAGACTTTGGAGAACGTGATATTGGAATCAACCTTTTCTTTTCTTTTTTTTAAGATAATGATAATAAGGGTCAGAGAAGCTGTGAGTGACTTACAGCCTACAAAGGGAAGAAGTCAGGACTCAAATCTTTATTTCCTGATTCCAGACTTCAGTGCTAGTTTATTCATGCTGACTGCTAAGTCAAAGAGACCATCTCTATTGTTGAAAGTTCTGGGTTCAGATGTAAAGCATGGAGGAGGCCTCCTCCCTACAGTGGAATGAAATGTTTTAAAAATCAGAAAAGGTTTTAGACTGACCCTCATGGGAAGAAGACGCTGATAGATTGATTGCTAGGGACCTTGAGGAAGGGTGGGAACAAAAGGCTTTGAGAATAAAACCCCTGCTCCCACAACAGCATCCAGATTCAAGGTTGTATGCCAATTACCATTCACCAAATGCTCTTCTGTCACCCCAGGTCCCAATTCCAACTGAGCAAATCTGAATGTGAGGCAGGAAAAAGGTTTTGCAAAGCAGAGAAGCAAATATTCCTTTAACCTTCTTTCGTGTTTTGATGGTTAATCTTGATTGTCAACCTGATTAGATTAAGAAATGCCTAGGAGATTAGTGAAGCCCACCTATGGGTGTGTCTGTGGAGGGTGGGTGTTTCCAGAGATTAATTGAGGGGGAAAGACCTACCCTGAATGTGGGCAACACCTTCACATAGGCTGGGGCCCAATGCAATAAAAAGGAAAGGGAGAGAGCCAGACAGCACAGGCATTCTCTCTCTTCCCCACCCCTCCCTCGCTTCCCAGCAGCCATGATATGAGTCACTCTGCTTTGCCATGCCCTCTCTGCCATGGTGGACTGAAACCACTTAAGCTGTGAGCCCAGACAGGTCTCTCCCTCCCTTTAAGTTGTTTTCTCAGGTATTTTGTCACAGCGATGAGAAAGCTAACCAACACACATGTCCTCCAGATTCTCCCCTTTTGGATCATTGAAGAATTAACTTTTGGTTCCTAATGACCACAGAGGTCTGTCCTCATGTGGCCAGAGAGTTGTGACCACAGTTCCTTTTCTGAGGCTTCCAGAAGGTGCTCAAAACGTCCAGAGCAAAGGCTGACCTCCCCAGCCTGACACACAGGCCCTTTATGGTCCCTTATCACTGCCTTTGCTATCAACAGTCTCTCCCATCATTCCTGCACCTGTGTGCACCCTATATCCCTCAGTCACATGGGTAGTCACAATTCCTAACCCACTCACTCTTAAAGAGCCAGCTCCAATAATAGCCAATAAACCCTAGAGTTGATTGGAGGCTTACTATGTACCAGACACTCAGAGCTGTGTCCACCTTCCGGCTTCATTTTCACCTCTCGCCTCCCTGTTCCACCTGAACTGAGCTGCAAGACCTCCTCAAAATTAAATCCCATGGAGACCCTTCAGGCCTTGTCTTTCCAGGACTTCAGGAGTACTGAAGTACTGAAGCCAGCAGGGCATCTGATGGGCACTGGGAGCCCAGGGATTCCACACAGGAATTTCCACACCTTGGTTCCAGCTAATGACAGGAGATTATTTGTACAGTTTTTTTTCCCCCCAGTTTATTTCCTGACCAAAAGGAAACAAATTCAGCTGTAGCTGAATCTACTACCTCCTTCTGTGAGAACTGGGACCGTATAGCCCCAAGGTGGTAGAAGTGGGATGGGGCCATAAAAGGGTGGTGTGTTGTATCAGTGGAGTCTGAGATGGACTGGTCTGGATAAGGGATGGGACTAGGAAATTCCTCACCCTGTGTGCTGCCACAGGGGTTAGATTTGAGGCCTAAAATGTATACTTTGGGGCATAATCATAGTCAAAAATAAAATTCCACCCAGTGTGTTTTGCAGAATGGTTATCAGGACATACTTCTCAAGAGAATTGAGGTATGGGAAATAGCAAAAATAAAGTAGCATGTATCACTTGTACTTTAATCATTCTTATTTCTCACAACTACCTGTGAGGTAGATATTATAATGAGAAAACAGTGCTTAGAGAGATGGCTCAGATAGACAAGCATGGGGAAGGTGCTGGTTGGTCAGCTCCTGTCTCCCGGCCTAGCCAATCAGTCAGGTGCACCCTGATGTGGAGGACCCCCCTTCCCTGATGACCCCCATCACCTGGTGGGACCAGTGGCCGCTCCTGGTTCAGGGTGTCGTAGCTCTTCCAGCTGTATTGTGGGTCTGGGGAGCCCTCTGATGATTTGCAGGTCAGCTGGATGTTGTTCCCAATCACTGTCTCTCCCTCGATGCCGCAGTCTGGCTGGGAGGGTGGAACTGAGAAGGGATTGGTGTCAGCCACCTGCTACCCCAAACTCACTCTCTCTTCTCTCTCTCTCTCTCTCTCTCTCTCTCTCTCTCTCTCTCTCTCTCTCTCTCTC